CTTCGATATCACTATGTGGTGATGGTGATCTCCAGAGTTTTTTCACAGCTACTGTGAGTAATGGCCTTCTCATGACTTCTGCTTTGTAAACAATCCCCATGGCTCCCATTCCAATGATGTTTGATTCTTTTATATGTGATAAGATGTCTCCTGCAGTGAAACACAGTCTCTGGAAAGCAACCAGTCTCCATGGCCACTCCTCTTGAGGTTGCTTGCAGAACAAATACTCTCTGGCAAAGTTGCTGTAAAGATCCCATCTTCTGTATACCCATCTCCCTGCAAGAAACACCATTCCCAGTGACAAGATGACCGCTGTTCCAACTATGAACCCGAAGACTGCGTGACTCACGTGAATTCTCCCTGGATTTCTCCTTCTTGCTGACAAAGCTAGGCTCTTAGGGCAAGCAGGTAAAACTCCACCGCATAAGCCATCGTTTCCCACGAGTTCGTTTGGGTTTATGGCTGCAAACAGCCCGTTTGAAGGAACGGGTCCTGTGAGTTTGTTGAATGACACGTTTAGCATCTCCAGTGTTGGGGAAGCTCCCAAGCTCTGTGGTATCTTCCCCGTTAGAGAGTTGTTTGAGAGGTCAAGAATAGCTAACATGTGCATCCCGGCTAATGCCTCTGGGATTTCTCCAACCAGCTGGTTGCTCTTGAGGTTTAGACTCACAAGTTTTTCAAAGGAAGCAATCCTTTCTGGGATCTCACCTGAGAAATGGTTGAAGGAAAGATCGAGGACAGACAAAGATGGACGATCTTGAATCTGGTTAGGTATTTTTCCAGCAAAATGGTTATGTGAGGCGATGAAGGTTTGAAGATTAGGACTTGAGAAAATAGCTGAAGGTAGGGATGAGAGATTATTAAAGGATATGTCTACGAATGAGAGTGATGTAGATAATGCTATATCATCTGGAATTTGACCGCTGAGGTTGTTTTTTGCAAGTTCTAGATGCTGAAGCATTGGTAAGTCGCCTGAACCAGCTGGAATTGTTCCGGAAATGAGATTTTTCTGGATTCGAACACGAACTAAAGTCGGGCATGAGAAGATATCCTCTGGAATCTGACCTGAGAACGTGTTGTTGAAGAGAATGAGCTTTGTGAGGTTTCTGGAATAGCACAATCCCGATGGGATTTCTCCTGTAAGCTTGTTTGATGAGACATCTAACCACTTCAATGGCGAACTCTTGCCGAGATGCACCGGTAAGGAACCCACCAGAGAGTTCTGCCACAGCTCAAGCACCTCAAGATTTGGTAATTCAGCAATCTTTGACGGAATGATTCCCGTGAGTTGATTCCTCATCAAATTCAGAAGCTGCAGATTCTTCAATTTAGCTACTTCCATAGGTATTTCTCCTGTAATCTGGTTATCAGACAGATCAAGAAACACAAGAGAACTCATATTACCGAGTTCTCGAGGAATCTTCCCTGTAAGACAGTTCTGGTAGAGATAGACTGTTGTAAGCTGTTTCAGCTGCCCCAAAGAAGATGGAATCTGACCAGTGAGGTTCCCGACCGCCAAATCTAGGTACTGAAGGCGCGTCAGGTTCCCAAACTCCTGTGGAATCTCGCCGGTGAAGCCATTGTAGCCAAGAATGATGGTCTCCAAGGAAGAGAGCTCACCAATCACCTTTGGTAGCTTTCCTCCTAAGTTATTACCCGAAAGACCGAGAAACTTCAGATTCTTGAGATTCTTGAAAGAAGAAGGCACCGAGCCTTCAAAGTAACCTCCTCGAAAGTCCAAAACCTCAAGTGTAGTTGCATTGCCGAGATCTTCAGGGAGAAACCCAGAGAAATTGTTGCTTGATGCATTGACGTGCGTAAGACCAGTAGCCATCCCTAGACCATAAGGAAAGGGTCCAAAGAAGCTGTTCACACTCACGTCGAAGATCTTCAAGGAAGTGAGATTAGAAAGAGATTTAGGAAGAGAAGACTCAAATGCGTTATTGCTGAGATCAAGGACTTGCAGAGAAGTGAAGCTTTGAATCTGATCTGAGATGTTTCCGCTGAGACTCATGTTGGGAAGAAGAAGCTTAGCCACGGAGCCATTTGAATCGCAGTGAACACCGGTCCAGTGACAATGAACCGACGCGGTAAATGCTGTGGCATTGTCAGGTCTCTTCCAATCTTGGAGATTATATGAAGGATCAGACAAGTCTGACTTGATGGCCAACAAGATCTCTTGTTCATAACCTTGTAATGTTTCAGAAGAAACAAAAGGGACAAGAGAAAAACCAATGTAAT